TTTTTTTTTTTTTTTTTTTTGAATTTTGTTTACCATTTTTTTGGTTTGAGCGAGATTGGACTGAAAAAATCTTTTGGACCAATTTAAATTGAGTTCACATCTTAATCCAACCCTATCTTATTTTTGATTCAAATTGAGTTCACAATTAATAATCCTGTTTACGACCACTCTAATCCTATTTTATAATCCTATTTTATTTTCCAATCTAATCATATTTTATTTTATTTCGAGTAAGAACCGATCTAATCCTATTTTATTTTATTTTATTTTATTTCGAGTAAGAACCGATCTAATCCTATTTTATTTTATTTTATTTTATTTCGAGTAAGAACCTCTAATCCTATTTTATTTTATTTCGAGTAGAATTGAATTGGGATATTGGATTTTATTTTTGATTCGACCATTAGATTGGTATTTTTAAATATTTTATTTTATTTTGAATTTGAGTAGGATTGAATTGGAATATTGGATTGTTATTTTTAATTATTTAAAAAAAATGACTAAAAATTTACCAAAGATAACTCACCTACCAACATAAAATATTCGGTTGATTTTTCTTTTTAAAATCTTAATAATTATTTGTAGAAAAATTAATATATGATTTAAAAGTATATAATAAAAAAAAATATACTATAAATTCACGCCCGTACAAATCCGTCCAAAAATTGTCCGAGATGAGAAAGTCTAGATTTTAGTTAAATGATACTTTTGAAATTATTCCAAAATCTCTCTCTCTCTCTCTCTCTCTCTTCAAAACCCTAATTTCATATGGTTAGGCTTCTGTGACACCTATCCCATTTCTCCTCTCCTCACCATTGTCGCTCGTCCGTAATCTCCGCCGTATCTAATCACCAACGTCAACGGCACCAACTCAGGCCCGCTGTTGAAGCTCAAGGTTGCTTTCTCTCTCTCTCTCTCGCTTGCTGTCTTTTTGATATCTGCTTCCCAACTATGTTCGAGTTCGTATTCTTCTTCTTTTTTTTTTTTTTTTTTCTCTTAATTCGTCTTGTGTTTTGGAGCATTTTCTTTGGTCAACTTCAAATGTTGACATGTGTTTTCTGCGTTTGGTGGAGTTTGGCTGCTTCGGAGTGCGAATTTTCGTCGGTGTCGTCCTGTGGATTTTGGTGCTTTCCGTTGAATCTTCAGTTGTATCTTTGGCGGTGTTGCATTGATTTTAAAATTTTTGTTGTTTGTTTGTGGTGTGGAGGAACTGGAATTGAATTGAATGTTGCGCGTGA